TTTAAAGGGCAGGGCTCCCTCCACTGTTCTTAAATAAAGGCTCTCACTGTCTGAGATCCAACCCTCCCTGATTTTCACAGTACCATTGTAAGGCTGCATGAAGATAATTATTTAAGGGCAAGGAGTTTTGCATATGATTCCCCTGTCATAAACCTGCTCAAGTCATATGGTTCGATTTACATTTATGCAAATGTCAGAGAATAGAGTAAAATTGCCAAAGGCAGAAAGGACCATGGCACGTCCCAAACAAGATGTGCCTATTTGCATTTATGTTTGCTAATGAAGTTCAGCCAGGGCTTGCTCTTTGATTTGGGTGTCTCTGTCTGCTGTTCCACTTTATGCACTGCATTTAAAGCACTTGCCCACACACATACAGGAGGACACCAAGAAAGGGAGACTCCAAGTTTTATATATGCTGTTCTGTAACTCGCTTACATAGGACCTATAATTCAGGATTTAACATCTCTTAAGTGATAAAACAGACCTGCAGTATGACACTGTGCTTCAATGTAAGCAGAACTGCAGACTTAAACCAATGGAGGATTTGGCCCAATAAACTTCAGTGTCTCGGGTGCCCGCTGGAGGTGTTTTACCCCAGACTTTCCAAATTTTATCTCAAATAAAAATTAAGCATCAGCCCACTCAAAAATCACAGCTGTTTCTTTCTCTTGCCAAAATTATTCTTTTCCATCATGCTACAGCTGCGAAATTGTGCACTAGTGTAAATTGTTAACTGGAAACCGTTTTTAGCTGAGGTGCCCATTCAGAAGCCTTAGTTTTCTAATTTAATCTGTTACCTCACTGAGGAGTACTCACACATCTTGCGTTTTGTCTGGGATTGTTTCTGTAAATCATTGCTTCACAGAATGGTTTGGGTTGGAAGAGACCTTAGAGATAGCCATGGGCAGGGACATCTTCCACTATCCCAGGTTGCTCCAAGCCTTGTCCAGCCTGGCCTTGAACACTTCCAGGGATGGGACAGCCACAGCTTCTCTGGGCAACCTGTGCCAGGGCCTCACCACCCTCACAGCCAAGAATTTCTTCCTAATATCCAGTCTAAACCTACTCTCTTTCAGTTGAAAACCATTCCCTCTAGTCCTAAATCGCAGTATATCTTGTCCTATGAACTCTTCAGTTCACAGTGTCATGTTCAAAAGGGCCGTGTTTCATTTCATGGGACCTACTGTGAGGACAGGAGTTTTGCTGTCATCTTCATGCAGTGGTTCTTTGTGTGCCTTCATAATAACAATGCCTTGGGCTATCACTACGTGAGAGAAATGGGACCAAACAAAAGAGAGTAGAAACAGGGTGATTTTTCATGAAATTTGAGGAGTTCCTTAACCAAGGCCTCTTGTACCACTTTGACTTTTTAAGTTGTTAGTTTTCCCTCCTTTCATCAAATGAAGGGCAAACCACGATCTTGCTTCTAAGTGACTGACAGCAGTGAACACTGCTCATCTTTTCTGCTTCATTGTACCTCCTTTCAGATTGTTGAAAAAAACCCTGCCTTCACTTATTAAATAACAATAGCATTCCCAAAGAGGGTCTTATATCAGAGTACAATGTGCTTTGATAACTTGAAGGAGCAACTTTTTCAAGGCAGGTTTCCTACACAGAAAGTTCCTGAGAAGCTGTGAGGAGGTTCTTCAGAAGGTCCACAGATGGGATAGAATCACCGAATGGTGAGGGTTAAAAGGGACCTTAAAGATCTAGTTCCAACCCCCTACCATGGGCAGGGATGCCACCCACTGGATCAGGGTAGAACTGGGAAGTAGAGGACTAAGCAGCAAAATCATCACACCTCTCAAGTAGGAGCCAGTGGTAAGAGCAGCCTGAACAAGATGAAAATTTGTTTATGCTTTCACTTCGGCCCAGCCTGTGTAGTCTCTGGTTTTGGATGGCAGCAATCTGTCATTTCACCTTCAAAGAAGTGGGGAGGCAAAATCTTGTCATACAATAGCAAGGAGCAAGAAGTTTCTGTGAGAGTTAGATTGGCCAAATAAGGTTAGATCAGCTTTTCGGAGCAGGAAAGCCACTCTGGGAAGGTGAACTGTGTAATTTGTGCCAAGCTCAGTGATTCCCCATGTCTAAAAGGTGGTCCTTTGACCACCAGCACACAGGACAGGTACAGTAAGAGGCTGATGGACCTTCAGCCATGGCAGAGACTCAGCCCACAGCAGGATAAATCAAAGCACATGCTGGTAGACAGTAAATTTTAAGAGAACATGCAAAAAATTTGAATGCACTAGACACTTTTCTAAAAGGAGCTCCAGAAGGGATCATGGGCTTATGTTACCTCTTGACATTGGGCTACAGCAAGACATATCCAGCAAAATGAGTACAGCTATTTTAATCCCACATCAAGAGTCTACATCATCCTCTATCTGTAATTCTGAGCCAAATAATCATATTTAAAAAAAAATAAATAAATAAAAATTGGATACTGCCAAAGTGGCATAAAGAACCCAGAAGTGTCATCCAAACCCTCTGTGTTATCTCCAACCACATTAAATGTCTGCCACATACATCCAGACTCTCTTACAAGGGCACATAACACATGCAAGTTTTATAAAAAACATCTTGCTGTTTCTCTTCACAAGTCTTGGCATGTAAAGATCTGTCTCTCAGTATCACAAATTCGGCTGTATAAATCTCAGAGATATCTGGTATAACTCAGGATGATGGGATGACTGTAAAATAGTTTCGCTGTGCATAAAAGCATTTCAGAGGTTAACCTTTATTATCTAGTAATGTATCAAAATGAGATGAAGTGTTATCTTGTTAGGGAATGGGATGAACCAAACTCTGAAATACTGATTTTCAAAACAGTTGCCTTTAAGCTGAGGTTGAAGGCAAGGATGGTTTCTGGGTAAAATGGTTCAATTTATGGTTAAATTCCATAATAAAATATGCATATATCAGAATCACTTTCTCTGGCACGGGAAGGAAAATTGTTTTATTTTCATTATTGCTAAACTTCAAAATTGCTTCAGGAATTTAGTTGGTCTTTCCAGAGAAAGTGAACTTCAAGCGGAGATTAAAGCAGAGGAAACTTCAGCCCAAGGGCAAATGTTTCAGAAAGTTTAAAGTATGTGAAACGAGGAGTGAAGTAGGAAATAGTTTTCAATCCTAACTATAGCCACACTGGTTATAATATATGGCTAAATATAGACCTGTGGGTGTGTCCAACTCTCTGAAGGTGTTCTTCTCCCTCTGCTGAAACTGGCTTCTGGAATGACCTTTGCAGGGATACAACTGCCTGTATAACACTGCCTGTGTTGGAAAATGTTAAACTTCATTATTTCCCAGGTGAGCCCAGCCAAGCCCAACTTTGCCTTGCAACCAAAATTCCTTTTGCAAAATTCAGCCCTTTATCTTTCATGTAGATCCAGCTTTACACTTGGGATCATTTAACTTCGAGCAAACCGTACAATAGTCCTGAATATTTTGTTTATGTGCTGAAGGTTGTCACTCAGGTTATAAAGCTCTGTAAAAAGATCAGGGTCAAGGAGCTAAAAACATTACTTTTGCATCGACTTCCAAATGCCAGCCATAATGGTTTGGGCAAGCTGCACATCCAAACTGCCTTGGACTTGCTGCTTGTGGTTGTGGGAATATATTGGATCCTTTCAAAGTTATTGGCTAGTCTGTTTTGGGCATTTCATGTTTGAGTATAGAGCCTTTGGGTTTATTTTGTGTTTTGTTTGTGGTGATACTGTCATGTCTGATGCCTGGCTGTATATCCCAGAGTTAATGTTCTGCTCTTTGATTTTAAGGCCATGTGCTGCTGGATCTCTGTACTGGAGTGTGGTGTTAATGTAGAGGATGCTGTAATGAACATCTTGTACATATTTCCTTTTGCATATTCGCTGTCTGTAAAATGTCTGTCTGAATACATCCTTGCTGGTTTTGAAATGATTTCCTTACCGTTCAGTACAAATACTATTTATATCCAAAGTTGTTTGAGGTTATCCTTTACTCCTAATGTTACTCTAATTCTAGTTTAAGAGGGGAAAAATTGATCTGGCTGAAATTAATTAGGAAATTGGTAGAGCCACTAAAAATGGTGGTTATATATGGCACTTCCTAAGTGCTTAGGCTGAAGAGGTACAAAATAAATCTGACGAAGCACTAATGTAATGAAATAGATGACTGTATTTTCATTTTTAAAACTAGATGACTGCTGAAGGTGAACCAAATAAAGCAAAAGTATTTAAACTCCTCTGCTTTTTTAAAGATACCATTAATATTAAAAAAAGGCATTTTTGAACTGAGAATATCCCCTCAAAATATAGGGTTTCCAGTGTGCCTGGCATAAAAAGGCATAGTTTCCTATATTGATTCAGAAAGAGCTGTTAAAAATGCATGAAAAGTATTTTAGGGAGACAGTGTCACAAGATCTTTTAAAATTATTTTCTCAAGTGCTTCTTTACCATTGGAAACACTTGAGCCCAAGTTACAATATATGGGATATCAAATTATTTCATACTGACCAGAGGGTCTTTAAGATTAATTTGGGTTTGGAGTGGTGGGGATTATACCAGTGTCTGTTTACATAACTTCAGACTCAGACTATAAATTAAGTTTGGAAAACTGTAATTATTTAATAATTTTTAGACTATTCAGATAAGTTAGAAATTATTCTTGAACGTGGTGAATAGAGAACACATACCTATAAAGGACAAACAGATTCAGTAGAATGGTGTATTTTTGGCCTCATCTATTTTGCAGGCAATTAGCAAAATAGGATGTTACATTTTTTGCCTATCTCTTGCTCTCCTGAAATAGAGTCACTAACCACTTGTTAACCACATTGATTTTTTAATAGACAAAGTGGTTGCTTATAGCTTCCCCACCAGAAATGTTCAGATTAAGTACATTATTAGATTGCAGCTAGAATAGCCTACAAAACAGGAAGAAAGCCTTGCCTTTCTCTGTGCCTCCTTGCCTTGTTTCAGCTGATGTGATAATTCATTACAGATTTTCTCTCTCCCTGACAGAGTGCCTACCGCAGGAACGGGATGACTTTTCTCGCCTGCTGATGTGGATGTGGCTGCAGCAACAGGAAAGACAGTGTTATATTAAGGTGATTTTCTTTTCCCCTCCATGGAAGGAAAAAAAATACAAGCTCCAATGTCTCCATGTACCAGTGAGTGGGCTGGTTTGTTGTGACTATCTGCTGGCTGTCTCTGTCTCTCTTTCCAGCCCCCTCAGTCGTTATTCTTGTTTACTAGCTGGAACATTTAGCTAATTAATGGCAGGATGTTTGGGATAGGGTGTAGGTGGACAAGAATGCAGCTCAGACAATGCTGGAGTTTGCAGGGGACTTGCTGCTGTCAGCCTCTTTCTGACTGCCATGTCATTTTTATTTAAGTGTTTGGAAGTCTGTGTGTTCTCCAAAAGATGTTTTTTTCTAAAGCAGGATGGGGCAGGAAGAGGCCAGAGATAGACTGGGTTGTGTTGGTTTATATAGGTTATATTAAGGTTACATAGTTTTCCTTGTGATTTTTACAAAAATAAAAATTATTTCCTTCTATTTTCCACTAATTTCTAGTTGTTTCTCTTGTTGATTTAAGTGTTCAGACAGTTTAATCCAGTGAGGGGATTTTGATGACAGTAATAACAAGTTTGGACCCAAAGATATTCAGAGAAAAGTTCAAGTAAACTGAACTTAGCCAGTGAGAGCCTTGACTTTTTGCAGACCCAAGGATAGGCTGAGCGGTCACCCCCAAATTCTCAATGTTGGCATCTCCTAAGGCTCAAGTCATTACTCTCTGAAATCTAAGAAGGCCTTTGCAGTGATGTGGCACTGGATTGGGCCCCTATTCGGAAAAATACATCCTAAAGTATTTAAATAACTGTGTCTGTCTCAGTGGTTGTAGGCAAAGGCTTAACGTTATGTACTTGCTCAGCGTTTGCTGCAGGAAGCAGATGTTGTCCCTGTTGTTGACAAAGGCAGCATTACTGTTGGATTTGGTTAAAGAAGAAACCGAGCTCTTTTTGCCTTTTTTTTTTTTTAAACATATTTTAGGTAACGTTGTTTGTTTTCAAGATTTGTTTTTTAAATCTCAGTCCCTCCCTCTATGCTTCTTCCCGTCCCCTGCTCCTCCAGCCTTTGCTGGCCTCACAAACACATTCATTTCTTCCCATAAAACTGTACAAATATAGAGCTGACCACGATGATGCTTGACCAGAGAAAAGCGCTCGTGCTTCAGCCCATCACCAGGATCTACAGGCACGTCCTGCTGGTTTCCCTGTGCTACCCATGGGCCAGGGTCTGCTTCAGCCAGGCTTGGAATCCAACTTAAACCTCAAATTGATACAGAACACTCAAGGGATCAACAGGAGATCAGCAAAATATTAGTTTTATATAGTGCAGCCGTCCTCCTCCTTTGTGCTTAGCGTGTGAGGTCTTAATTTTTACTCCTGCTCTACTCTCTTGTGGTCGTTCGTAGGTGGTTCTGTTGTCCTTCTCTCCTGGACCTGCTCGCAAAAACTTTAAATATATGTATATTTTTTAAATAAACAGCAAAATGTCTCTTTGCAACCAAAATACTGTAAAAGTGAACTTTGTGCATCGAATATTACTGACGTTCATAAATTGCTTTTTCTTTTGCCTACTTTTTGCTTCTGTTTTCTGGAAATTATCTGTGTGTAAAGGACTGAAAGTAACGTGTACAACGCCATCTATTAAACGAGGGGAGGGGGAAGTTTTCTGATGCTCCATCTGTGCTTCTTGAAATGTATGATTAAACTTTTCTTTTTATCATCACTCTTTATTTTTGTTGGCATCCTTAATCATGGAAAATTATACGCTTGCTGTAAACATCCAGACTTTTTTAAAAGGACACCAGCATTTATTGTATTTGGTTTCGATATGCAGGGATAGAGACAGAAGAAACCATTTCAGGCACTGGGTACTGGAATCAAAATTCCTTCTGTAGCTGTATCTCTCCCGGATTTTACATTTTAAAATATGCATAAGCAGGAAAAATACTGGCACTTATTTTTTACTGGTCTACTTAAAGTCCCAGAGAATGAAGACTCAACATACATTTCTCTCAGAAATATGACAGATCATGTTTTTGTTGGTCTGCTGTATGTTTGTCTATCTTGAACAGCCTGACAGGCAATTATTTATAAAATCTGTGTTTGCCCAGTAAACCCATATAATAACCTTTCACTTCTCTGCACAAGACAGGGAGCTGAATTTAGAGTCAAACAAAGTAGGTTGTGTCTCCCTATCTTGGACTAACCCAGTTTATTCTTATTTTGGGAAGTAATCACTTTTTTTTTTCTCCTTGTCTTCGGGGTTTTCTTTTACTCTGTTTAAAACAAAAAAAGCAGCCAGTAATACTCGTGCTGCGTTTGGAGTGTGTCTTAGCACCAAGTCCCATGCTGCAGAAACAGAGATGTGTGTTTGAGCTGGTGCTACGCATTTTTATTATATGTATAAAAATCGTTTTGAGATTCAGTTAATGGCTGCATATGAATAGCTTGATTCCTGTGTAATTTCAACTTGCAAAACATTTTGATTCTTAGCCCGGATTTACAGTGACTGGATCAGGTGATATTGATTATTTCACATTAGTTACCTGAAGAAGGGAAACATCTATTTCAGTAGGAATAAGGCCGTGTAAAAAGGGAGTGTGAGTTTTGCTGTCAGTGGTTATACTACCTCAGTTTTCAGATTTTTAGTCCCTGTGCAAAACAGGGATAATGATTCAGCTTAAAACTTCTTAGAGGTGATGGAGCCACAACACAAATTTCTGGTTGGGCTTCATCTCATTTCTCAGGCTTTCTGGAGAGAATAAAACCCTTTAGAAGAGTTTTACCGTCCTCTGGAAATCGAGAGAAGCTGACAGAGCTCTGTGTTTCTCCAGAGACACTCAGACCCTGCAGAATGTGCCCTCCTACATTTTCAGAGCACACTCCTCTTTGTCAAATGTCACCCTCTCTGAGGGGGGAGAATAAAAAAAAGTGGGGTTTGGCATTTCTTGAGTGTAGATTAACCTTTGTGTTGTATTAAGGTTCTGCCATCAGCCATGAGTAGATCTCATAAAATGTTTTATAGCTTACCATCCAGCTCATACAGAATGTTTCATAGTACGTAAACACTTCTAATAATTATTTAAGAATGAATAGATAGTGACATTAATCACAAGTCTAACCTCTAGTTGAAACTTAAACAGTTACAGGGTTGAGGGGTTTTTTTTTGCCTGAGTGAATCATCTTGTCCAAGGTTGGGCTTTTTATACCTCTATTTTTTTATGCCTCTACTATATATCCACCTCAAGCAGCCAGGGAAAGGCAGTGGTGGCATGCATTAAATCCAGGGCTTTATTCAGAGGGCACAGAGCCAGTGCAAAGCAGCAGAGCCATCCCTGAAGGAATTGAATGTAAATGTGATGGTTTAAATAAGGCCAGATACCTTAAAAATTATTTTGAAGGCTGTATCTTTAATGTAGCCCTTAACTTTTTTCTTTTCTGCTTAAGATAATGATGTTGCCTTTACAAAATAATAAGAAAAAATAGCTCTCATCTCTTGTGGGGAGACAAAAATCAGATACTTTGGCTTCTATAAATCACTGAAATGTTGGCAACTGAAACAAAGTTTTAGAAGGCAGATGACTGCAAATTTGAAGGAAACCTTCATATTTTACTGTTAAAAGCTTTTTAACTGTCTAGAGAGTGCTCTGAGACACTACATTAATAGCCATTCTCAGTAATCAAGCTCCACTATACTTATATACCGTTTTTCTTAAACAAGATAGATTAGTAGTGGAAGAGAGCTGGAAAGATAAATAAGGAAAATCAAGAACTAAGATTATAATAATACAGTTTCATTTTACATTTTATAGTTCTCTATTTGTGATTGATAATTCATCTTAACTCCTATCAGACAGAAATATTGGCACAAGAGTCTTATACCAATATCTGTATATTTCTGGACTTGTCTTCATCCAGATGCTTTGCAGATTTTCTTACTGGTTTTGTGAAGATGTGATCTGTCAATTTGGTCCTTATATGACTTTGATTACTGTAATATCTGAGTGTCTCACAGGTTTCCATGTGTTCCTGCCCACAGCACCACTTTAAAACAATAATAATGTGTTGTTATCTCTGTTTCTTCTGCAGAAAGACTAAATGATGGGAGACTAAATGACTCCATATTGGGAAACCTGGGGTGTTTCAGAAAACCTGGGTTTCCCAAATCCATACTGATGCCCTCAGTTCTGAATTGTTTTCCCTCTGCAGTGAAAGCAATAGGTGTGTCAGCACATAAACCAGCCCTGCAGGTTAGGAGAGAAAGGGGCAAAAGCAGCCTCCAACTGGATCCACGAGGGGATTTGGGGGTGGAAGAATGCAACCACTCAATTTGGACCCAGTCCAGGGCTCAAAGCTTTAAACCCTTCCAGCTGAGATGTGCCACGGCCACTTAGTGACCCTGTGCAGAAACACAAATGATACGTCTCCACCAAAACATGGACTGTGGGGCACTTTGCCTCCTCCACACTCTGCTGGATTTCTGCATCAAAAATCACCACGAGGAACATATTCATTACTTTGGCACTGCCAGTGTGTTCCTACCTTCATCTCCCAAACTGCCTTTGCAGAGTGCCTCAGAGCTGCAAGAAGCAAGAGGAGAAACACAATTAAGAAACATAAATGTTCTGTTTTAACTGAGGCAGCAGCTGTGATGTGTGTTGACAAAGATAAAGTAAAATGTTAATTTTTCATAAATGAACTGGGTCTGAACATAATGAAGTGCCACTGAAGTGGTGGTGGCTGATCTTCAGCCTGGAACTAGACCTGGGAGAAGAGAAGGTGTAAGATATCAGAAGCTGTAGCAGGATTCAGATAGTGAACAGCCAATAGAGCAAGTTGGCTCAAACCAGTTCTGTTTAGCTCTTATTTCCATAACTATTTAATTAATCTGCAAAACAAAACAAAACAAAAAAACCTCTCCAAAACTATTGCATTTCTTGTACTGACATGATTTGCTCAGATCTGCAAATGAAATGGCAACAACTGTATGTCAAGCTGAGGTGAAAACAAATCTGAACCATGGCTGCAGAAGGAGAA